ATTCATCCATCACGGTCTCGTTACCCGGATGTCGTCATATTCTCTTCTAAACGGGCATCTGGAAACACCCTTATCCTGAGTATCCTCACGTCACGTTTTATCTGTTTCCTGTCTCGTCTGTTTTGACTAACATCTCATAAGTATAATACTCCAACTTCATCCTTTCTACGTGATGTTTAAGCCTTTTCTCTCGCTGCGATTATTACTTAAAACTTCTTTGCCAATGGGAAAACTCTCGTTCACCATTTTTTCAATCAGATCGCATCCCAAAGTCAAGACGGACTTCAGTTTATTTCCGCCCGCCTCCTTACGAGCGGAATGCGGGTCAGACCGGAGCATAATCCGAGGGGGTCTGTCTTTAAACACCGCTTAACTGGGGGCTTCCTTAACGTCTGCGGTTCCCGGCGAGGGAGGGGAGAAAGGGGCTGCGGTTCTGGCTTTGTGACTTAGCGCCCCCTCGAGCGCTCCAAGGTCCGCTGTGGCTGTAGAAGGGTCCCTGCCTTTAAATCGCTGATGACAGCGACGCTCACTTGGCAGTTCTCCGAGACGCTTTTCATGGAGGTCTGCACCGTTCTTCGCGCCTGCGGCGGGAGAGGAGGTCTGATTTTACTTCCCTGGGTCTTAGGGTTAGAGAACGAGTTCTTCGAAGTGTGTGCATCGTTAGAACTAGGTCTGGGAGCGAGTGCAGACTCCGATTATGGGCGTCATCCTCTGGCGTCCAGTAAGTCGAGTCTTTTATGGTGAGTCGTACCACTGTTTGGCCCCCATTTGCAACTGTATTGGATGCGCTTTTGACGTGGGATGGAACAGAGACCCGGTGTTTGCACTCGGAAGGGCATGTGTAAACTTCCAGAGGACGATGCACGTGAAACTTAGGGACTAATTAGAGAAACTATAGGTATTTATCCCCAAGAAGAGATGTTTGTGGGGAGTGGGCATCATTCGGTTTTGAACAATTGGGTGGAAGAAGATTCTATCGCTGAAGCTCCACGGGGCACGAGGCCTCTGTAAGGTGAAGGTCCAGGGGCTGAGGTTTTCAGCTTACCACCTGGTGGCTAAGCTGTGCAGCGGCGGAACAGAAGGCACCCTTGCTGAAGTATTGAGAGTATCTAGCAAGTTAGCTGACAACGTTGGGAACTTTAGGAGACGTTCCTCACACTGAATGGGAGGTGGACCTGGAGAACTTTCAGTTCCCTTTCCACTGTCTTCAGCCGTGCAACACAAGTACCAGTTGTGGTCTTAATTAGTGTTTTTTTTAGCATGCATTCCCCCCCCCCCCTTATCTGTAAATATCTAGATTAGAAGTGGAGTTTATGTGAGTGTTTAAAATTATTTTTTCTTTTTTCCCCTTAATCGTACAGCATTGGCATCAACTAAAGTCAGAATTCCCAGGAACTTGAACAGAGGCTCCCAGTAATTGCTGCCGAGAGATAACTCCAAAGAAGGTGGGAAAGAATACAGCAGGTAAAGCTCTCCATGGCTCGTTTTCACCACCAGGTCATCTTTCTCAGTTCCCAGAAGCAGCTCCGGGGAGAGGAGTTGGCAGTGGAGCAGGGGAAGGGCCCTGCCTGCACCTGAAGCTGTGGGAGCACAATGGAGATTTTTTTTTTTCTATGAGAAACATTGTTTACTGCTCTAGACACTGGGGACTTGTTCTCAACAATATGCCTTTGAGTTCCAGCTTTGGTTAACCCAGCTGTGAGAAGGGGAGACGTGGCCTTTCGCTTCTGGGGTCAGAAGGCGCCGGGTTTTCTTTCTAAGAGGGCT